TATATATATATATATATATATATATATATATATATATATATATATATGTGTATGTATGTATGTATGTATGTATGTATGTATATTAATTTTTGAGACTATCACGCAATGCATTTTGATCTTATTTACTCTACCCCTCCTTCCATATCCACCCTCTCCACCATCACCTCCCTGCCCACCCAACTTTGAATTCTTCTCTCTTGCCCTCAGGTCCAGTTTGTGTTGCTCAGCTGCTCTGAGGAGTGGGGTTTGCCCTGGCACCTGGTTGACCTACCAGGGTTCACATTGCTTTTGTTGCTGTTGGGTTTTTTATTTGTTTGTTTGTTCTGGTTTTGGATTTTCGAGACAGGGTTTCTTTGGGTAGCATTGGCAGTCCTGGACCTAGCTCTTCAGCCCAGGCTGGCCTCCAACTCACAAGATTGCCTCTGCCTTTTGAGTGCTGGGATTAAAGGTGTGCTCCCCCACTGCCTGGCTAAGATTTTAGTTTTGTGGGTTCCTGCTTGTTTGTTTTTGTTTTGTTTTTCAAGACAGGGTTTCTTTGTATATCCCTGGCTGTCCTGGAACTAGCTCTGTAGACCAGGTTGGCCTTGCACTCACAGAGATCATCAGCCTGTTTCTGCCTTTGGAGTGCTGGGATTAAAGGTGTGTGCCACAGCTGCCTGGCTCCCGTCGTTCTTTAATGTCACTCTCTTTTCTTTTCTCTCACTATTCCTGTTTTAAATCTTCGTTCACGTGGCTGACATGTGGACGTGTGTATCTGCACATTTGTGTGTGTGCACACACGGCACAGTGTGCCTAGAGAAATCACAGGGCCGAGGAGAGGAGGACCTCCCCTATCAGTGGACTTGGGGAGGGGCATGCATGCAGAAAGGGGGGGAGGGTGGGACCGGGAGGGGAGGAGGGAGGGGCTTATGGGGGGATACAAAGTGAATAAAGTGTAATTAATAGAAGTTAAATAAAAAAAAAAAAAAAAGAAATCACAGGGCCATCTCGGGTGTTAGCCCTCACTCTACCTTGTTTGAGACAGGATCTTTTGGTGAGTTAGGGTTTTTTTTTGGGGGGGGGGTGCGTCTCCTGTCTCCCACTAAGAGCACTGGGATTATATATGTGCTACCATGACTGGCTTTGTGTGGGTTCTGGGGATTCGAACTTAGGTCCTTGTGCTCATATGACAAATACTTCACTCAGTGAGCCACCTCTTCAAGCCAGATTTCTTTATAAAGGGAAGCTTCCATCTCCCCCAAATCTGTTAAACAACAAAAATGCTTCTCCCTTTTACATTCAGGCTCTGGACAGAGGCCAGAAAAAAAGCAAGCTTGGACAGAACTGACGAAACCTGGCATTCAGCTTCCCCACAGAGAAAATCTGGCTTTATGTTACGTCACCTCACTCTAGAGAAGCTGGAGGGAAACACAGAGTGTCCAGGCCTGGGGTGTGGCTCAGGGGAAGAGAATTTACAAGTCCCAGGCCTTGGGTTACAGCCTCAGCAAAAGCCACACCTAGAAAGAAGAGGTGTGTGCACATCAAACCACTATAAAGTGGATGAATGCACAGGACTAGGGTATGGCTCAGGACTGGAATGCTTAGCACCACAAGGCCTGTGTCTCTCCCAACCACAGCACTGCAAAAATATTAAATTAAAAAGATGCACTGTTGGGGTTGGTCTGGTGCTATGTGTTCTAATGTTAATTATTTTGCTTCCCAATATCTGCGTGCTGTCTTTTACAAGCAGACACACATGTACTCAAAATGATGCTGTGTATCCTTGCCCCCCAAATTATCCCTGAGTGGCAAAATAAAGTTGCCTACACACGTGGGCAACTCAGAAGTGAGGTAGGCAGAGCTAAGGGTTTATGGGCTTGGAGGGCAGATGGATCACAGGAAGGGGAGAGACAGGTACCAGGTACAAGAGAGGAGAAGGAAGCAGAGATGGCCAGGGGTTATCGTAGAGAAGAACCATGTGGCCAGAAGTTGTTTACTCTGAGGCTCAGTGATGAGCGCCACAGCCCAGATGAGGAACATGTGCAAGGATTTATGGGGTATTGTCTGGAAAGTAGCCCAGCCATGAGTTATTAGAGTAATTGACAAAGAATGTGGGGCTGGGAGGTTAAAGACAGTTTAAAGGATGGTTTCTGCCCAGCTCCAGTCTATAGAGATATTAAAAATCTAACAGGTGTCTGTGTCTTTTATTGATATGATAGCAGGTTAACTAATCAACTGCCATAATAATCTATGGCGTTAATAACCAATTTTCTACAACAAAGCACATCTTGCCAATGGTCACAGTGCCTCAGTCCTGTTCCTCCACCTAACGTAAAGACCAGTGACTTAATTATCTTTAAACAGTGGTCTAGGCATGTCCAGCGTCAGAAGCTGTCAAGGCGAGATCTCCTGCATACAAGCATCGTCTGCAAGGATCCCACTCATCTTAAACGGGGATCCTGTCTTCTGCGCATCAGAGCCACAGAGACTGCACTTTCTGGAGATGATAGAGCATGCATTTGTGTGGCAGTGTGTATGTAGAGACATCTGGGAGGGAAGTTCAGTCCGTCTGGGTGTGGCAGTACACACCTATAATCCCAGCACTTGGAGGTTAAGGCAGGAGGATTGCAAGGAGTCCAAGGCTATTTTGTGCTATAAAACAAGTCTCTGTCTCAAAACAAACAAACAAACAAACAACATACCCATAAATATAGAGGTATATACACTGGAATATTAAAACCATCTACAGTATTTAAAGATTTTAGGGTGGGCTGGAGATAGCTCAGCTGTTAAGAGTACTGGCTGCTATTGCAAAAGACCAAGTTCAGTCCCAGGACCTTCATTGAGGGGCTCATAATTGCCTGTTAGTTCCAGGGGTTTGACATCTTTTTTGGGTGCCTGCATGTACATGGTGCACATAATCACACACACACACACACACACACACACACACACACACACACACACACCTACACATAAACAATAAACAAATAAACAAGTCTTCAAAAATATTACTTGTGTGGTTGGAGATCCAGCGCAGTGGTCCAGTGATTGCCCAGTGTGTCTGAGGCCTTAGTTTCCATTTTCACATCACAGACAAAAGAGAAGAGGAGAAAGGGAGAAACAGATCCCAAGTGGCTTGGTTTCTGTTTTGATTTTTAGAATATTTGTTCAATAAACTGTTAGGCTGAGCTGGAATGAAGTTAAGTTAGCTGAGAACAATGCCCTGAAGGACAATGGGCAGATTAAACACAGAGCAGACATGGCAGGGGCCCACACTTTCTGCTTAGCCAGGAATCAGGCTCTGGTTACAGTGCTATTCCCAAATGACAAATGCTTACCTCCTCAGAAACTCCCCCAGCAAGGAATCGGCCAAAGAGAACACGAAGTCCATGAGAAGGAGGCGGTAGATATCCTGGCCAATGAGAGTCTCCCAGCACTGGAAGGCAGACAGAAGTCAGGATCAGGGCTGGTGGCCCAGCTCAGAGCTCATGTGGGCTCAATTTGACCATACCCTGTGTACTCAGAAAAGCAGACTTAATCTGCAAAAACAGCCATTTGTGTGTGTGTGTGTGTGTGTGTGTGTGTGTGTGTGTGTGTGTGTGT